GTCACCACAGAAATCCAGTGTGATAAGGGTTGTGACTGTCCCCGTTTTATAGATGGGAAAACGAAGACTCAGGAAGACTGAGCAGCCTGTCTGAGGTCCCACAGCTGCTGGGTGGTGGAGGTGGCATGTGCACTTGGGATTGTCTGACTCCTTCTACTTTCCCAATGGCTCCTGACACGCAAGACAATGTGTTGAGCTTTCCAGGGCAGAGAAATTGGCCAAGGAGCTAATGTGGAAGACAGAAAATACCCAGAATAAGTATGTTTAGTACTGAGTCATAGGACTATCTTCTATTTTTGCTGGGAGGCAGGCCCATCACTGGCTGAACCCAGGACGTTGCCTGAAAAGTAGCTTCAACAGAGACAAATCTTTAGACGGTGAGTCAAAAAATGCCTTTGTTTCTCTGAAAGATCTCGAGGGTGCCCTTCCCCCACTCTGCTGCCGCCCAGCTCCTTGAACAAGCACTCTGATCACTTGCTTCTCAGAAGCAGTTGCAAATCAAGGACAGAGCTTTTAACTTGACCCACTGAATTAAAAGGAAACACCAATCCATCATCTGTGTACGGCCTGACTGGCTCTGCTATGAAGGCTCCAGCAGTTTCTGTCCCTCCCTTAGCCTCAGTTTCCCCAGCTGGACAAGGGGGAGTGGGATGCCATGGTGTGGGGACCCCTTCCTGTGCTGAGGGGTGGCAGACCATGACCAACCCGTGGGGTGGCTCTGGTCACTCCCATGGAGACACAAACCTCCAGAACTTGGGCTCCTACAGCATCCTCAGCTGGAATCATTCCAAGTGGGAACACACACCCCAGGAATGTATCCTACCAGCTGCAGACACAGGGAGAAATTGGGGCAAGGGCAATGAAAGGCATGTGACACTTCCCGTGGGCTCTGGGAGGGTTAGGGCTTGGGCTCTGCAGTGGGTCTTAGCAGGTTCAAATCCTGACTCCATGGCTGACTAGCTATGGGCTCCTGAGAGAGTTATTTCTTTTTTTTGGACCTCAGTTTCCCTATTGTAAAAGGAGGAAACTAATGTCCCAGAGGGCGGGTGTGAAGACGGAAAGAGATAATGCACACAGAGTGCGCTGTACGTGTCAGTACTTACCCCATGTGGTGCCCTTTAAGCCTCACCAGGACCCTCTGCAGCAGGCACATTTTCCCGGTGAGGGACTAGAGGCCCCCAGGACAGGTTCAGTCCCTGTCCTCCCTATGGCCACTCAGAGATGTGAAGACTCCAAACCCATTCCACCCTGAGCCCAGGTCTGTTTCTCCAAGTTATCCACCCAGCGACTCAGCCCCCTCCCTGTGTGGCCACCTCCTGTGCAGGCTCCATTGGTCCATCTCATAATTTGTGCCAAAAAGCCCAGGGGCTGGTCAGACCCTCCACACCAACCAGTGCCAAGCAGTACCACCCCGAATCACCCAGTGTGGCCTCACCTAGGCTTCTTCTCCTGCCCCACATTCCTAGGGCAGGGAGCTGTATCTGGGGCTGAACCTGTAGGCTTCTCCCAGGTGAGTCAAAGAGGGAGAGGACTCAGTCCAGCCAGCTCTGAAGGCAGGTGTATCTGCCAGGTAGGAAAAGGGCTGACACCCTGATGGAAGCCACACCACCTCTCTGTGTATAGCAGGGCTGCAGCCTGTTCCCTGCAGCCAGAGGTGAAACTGACCGGCATCTGTCCTGGGCGCTGGGATCAACTAAGGTCATGCACGTGGGATGGGACTCTGGTGCTGAACGGGTTGAGGCGGGGGTTCTGGCTGAGGCTACCAATAGCTTCCTAGAGGGAGGGCAGGCAAGGAAGGCCCAAGGCTTTTTGGAGAGCTTGTGGTATCTCTCATTTGCCTGGCCACAGAATTCTGAGAGAAGGGAAGACTTACATTCCCAAGAAGCTGGGACTATGTTATACCCTGCAATAGCTGTCTTCACGACAGACGGGAAGTGATCATTAAGCCTTCCTGAAAGGCTGCACTGGCTGAGAAGGCCTACTTCTGTGGAGAACACTGAAGCATCCCTTTGAGAAGTGCCTCTTCCCACAATGCAGTGCAGGACAGCACTCTGAAAGTGGAAAGCACTTTTGCTTTGTAGACTGAATCAGAGAGATCAGTCCTGGACTCTGACCAGCATGCTGGGGTCCTGATGGACCAGAGCATGGAAACATCCTTGGAGGGGTTGCAGGCCAAGTTCCTGATGTAGGGCAAACCCCTCAACACCAGTCCTGCCTTGTTCAAGCTTCTGCTGGTAAACCCCAGGGAGCGGAAGCTCATGATTCGCTTGCAGGTACATCTGAAATTCTTACCACTCACCTGGACCCTAAATCTGTATGACTCTTCCTTGGTGGGCCCAGCTCTGCCCTTTGGGAGAGCCCCACACTCCACACCTTGGGAAAAATCTGAAAACACTGACCAGTTCCCTCATGTGAGCTGAATAGGCAGAATCAGAATACTGGGGTCGGAAAGAGATGGTAAGGATTTTGCCCAGTCGCCTGTACCCCAGCTACAGATCCTACACCCCAGGCTCTGGAGGCCCATCACAGAGAGCTCCCGAGGGCCCAGATAAACTGTGTGGGAACATCAGTGTGGTAATAGGAGGACGGGGCCCAGCCAAGCACTGCCTCGCTCCCTGACACCACCAATGACGTGCCAAAGCACGTGCCCCACACACTGCTGACTGAGGTGGGAACATTATCCTTTGTCTCTGAGCAGCCACACTTCTGGGTTTACAAATGGAGCCGTGGCAGCACTTCAGCAACCCAACTGAACTGTTTCAACTCGTCCTTATTACCTGACAGGTGGCCCATCCACCTCACTCCACCTGCACTCTGGGGCTAGGAAACAGGACGGTGTTCCTGCCTGCCAACACCGCATCCAACAGGCTCTGTCCACAGACGTGGGGAGGGATCTAGTCAAGACTAACGGCTGCAGCTTACAGCATCCCTCCAGCCCGAGTGAAACAGCTTCCTTCTATGCCTCAGAAATCAGAGCTGAGCCCAAAACAGCATAATTGGTATCCACTCCAGAGCAGGACACACAGAGATAAGGGACTTGATGAGACACACGGGGATGCGATTCTGGGTCTGTCTTCTACCAGCAGCCTAAGAAGTTGACCTACAATGACACTTGTGAAAGCAAGTCCAAATGGATATCTGTGGCTCAGAAACTTATCTGGAGACAGTTCTATCTCAGACCTTGTGATCCTTTATGAAAAATGAAAGGTACTGAAGTTCTAAAACCGGCTTTGGGCAGAAGCGGACAAGTCCTGGCCCCAGAGCCTTCTGAAGAGATGATGGCTGTCCTGTAGGCTCAGTGCTTTTCACTTTAATGTGCCCATGAATCACCTAGGGGGTCTTTTAAATCAGATTCTGACTCTGCAGGTCTGGGCCGGGGCCTGAGACCCTGCATTTCTCACTAGCTCCCGGGTGAGTGACACTGCTGGTCCAGGGCCACATGTGAGCAGCCAAGCACCAGACTAGATGAGAGCATCAAAGGTAACATGACCTGCAGGGTGGTCAGCCCAGGAGGGGGTGGGACGCCACAGGCCCCTGGTGTCCAGGAGAGGTGTCACATGAGCCCTCTAGCCCTTTAATACAATTGGGGTTTGTGAAGAGCCACCTCTGGGTCAGTATCAGCCCCCTTCTAGCTCCTCTCACACCCGAGAGGAGCACGTCTTGACCAGCCGTGCCAGGACAGTCCCTGGATTCCCTTGTGCCGAGGGAGGAGGAGGCCGTGAAATGCACGGGAGAGACCTGAGGTGACCAAGGACCTTCAGTCACACGACCACTGTCGTCTCTGACATTCAGCCGGGCGCTGCCAACCTGGCAGGAGGGCCCAGCATCCACAGCACTGACTCTACATGGTGAGAAATGCTGCCCCAGGGTTGTGCGCAGGGAGTTCAACAGGCCCGGAGAGGCAGTAAGGGAGCCCATGGGACGTGTGGCCGTGTACCAGGAGGGCTCACAGTGATGGTGACACATCTGAGGTGGGCCTCAAAGGAGGGGTGGGACTTTTCCAGATAGGATATGGCAGGGAAGGGCACTCAGGCAGAAGGAATAGGACTCGCACAGAGCGGCTACATCCAGGGGATGATGAGTGGTATGCGTGGGGCAGAGGCCTCACTTCCAGGGCTAGAAAGGGAGGAAGGGTCTAGTTGTGCATGAAAAAGGGAGCTTCCAGGCAAAATGAATCTTAAATTAAAAACAAAAACTCTCCCTTTATGACCTGCAATGTAGTAAGAATTAAATTAGTCATTTGATGTCTTTTTTCCAATGCCTAAACTCTTAGACACATAAAAGTTATTTGCATCTGACTTTCCACCTTTTAACATTAAACATAAGCATTTCCCTGGGTTATTATAAACTCCTGGTCAATGTCACTCTGTAGTGGCTGCACAACATTCCTTTAATCAATCCCCACTGCTGGACATTCGGGTCGTTCTCCATCTCTCACCATCATCATGCCTTCTCTGTGCTTTAGATCGTAAACTTGACCTGGATCCTAAGGACTGGTACTCAAATCAAAGGGTGTGAACATGGCCTAAGAGAGGTAACACATGTGGCAGACTTATTTCCCAAAAGGCTGAGGGAGAGGAGTTTCAGTGCTGCGATGGACACTGGATTCTAGAAAACCAGTCTCAGGGTGGGGAGGAAGGGAGGCACCTGAGTCATTCAAGGGGCTCCTGGCCAGGGGGAGGGTCGGCCCCTGAGGTCAGGATGTGCCCATGGCCTGTGCTGTGTCCATGGGCTCATGCTGAAGCTGGGACAGGAACGCCGTGGCCCCGGATGCACGCAGGCCTGTCACAGGTGTGAGATGGGATGGAGCCACTGGGCTCCACCAGGTACAAAAGGAGCCACTCTGCAGACTGGACCCTCCTCACATTTGAGGGGCCCAGCCGTACGTGAAGTCCTGTGGTTTACGTGAGCAGGCAGGGCCGAGTGTGCTTACCCTCTTTACAAAGCTGAGCACCATGTGGGCCAGCAAGCGCCCCTGAGCAGGGCTGCTGGTTCCTTACCTGCCAGAGCTGGGATAGTGACCCGGTTCCACTCCCACGGCTGGTCGTACTCGTCGGCGGGCCTGTCGTCATCCTGGGGCAGCTTGCTCTCCCGCAGTCGGGGGCTGACCGTGCTCTCTGAGTCTGAGTCGACGCTTTGGCCCTCAGGTTCATAAGGGGTGTCGTATAATTGAATGCCTTTGTGCTGCGACCGGACACTTTCCTGCCTCTGAAATTCTGCAGTCAAAAAGGAGGGAAGCAGAGATATAAAGGATGCAGAGTACAAGCTTCATCACCTGGGACCTGATAGGTGACACCCACCAGCCACCACCCAGAGAGGTGGGGACTGCACAGGACAGGCCTCTTTGCTGCATTTAACTGTTCCTCTCCGCCCCTCCCCAGGGCAGTGCCCCTGCTCTCACTGGTCAAGTCTTCCTCACAAAGATCTCAGGCTTTGAACCAAAGGACAGAATCAGAAACCTCATGACCACTGTCCAAGGGTAGGGCCCAGACGTGAGCATGATGTTCTGGGTATGTTCTGACACCAGCCCAGAACACAGAGTTCTTTCCCCCTCATTTACAGATGAGTGGTGGGGACAGGGTCCTTCCTCTAGCGAAATTGCCCATCCTCTGGACTTGTCACTTCCTATCTGTCAAATGAGGAGATTGGGCTAAATGACCCTCAAGTGTCCACCAAGCTCACATGTTCATTTTGAAGACCTAAGAAGCCAAGAGCCATCCCCAGGGGACTGTTTTCTCCCCTAAAGCCCCAGGAGTGACTGTTTTCCTGCCCTTCTACCTCCCCCAGGGCCTGTCTGTCTTCTAACACACTGAATACAGCCAAGAAACTTGAGAGAGCAGATGTCCAATTTCACTTCTGAATAAGGAAGGAAAGCTCTCAATCTTCTGCAGAGGATACCAGGTCCTGGCTTGAGTTGGGGCGGAGGAGTGGCAGCCAGTCTGAGGACCCAGACAGGGCATGTTCCTTTCAGCTGCTGCTCACTCCTAAGAGGCCAGCAGTGGCCGAAAAACGGATGCCCGGATGCCACAGTCAGGTGCTTCTTTGCCAAATAGGGATGGCTTATTTGCTTTGATCATGAACACCCACTTTGTGCAGAGCCCACAAAGGACGGAGGAGAGGAAAGAGTTCACTGTCGAGGCTGCTCTCAGCAAGCCCACTGTTTCCAGAAGAGAGACAACAGGTACCTAAATCACCATGATGCTCTGCGGCAAAGGGGCTCCTTCAGGGCCTGCGAGGGACGAGGCAGGAAGAGAGAGAGGTGGCATTTGAAGTGGCAGAAGCAGAAACAGGAGAGGGACAAGATTCCCTGTGGTTGGACCAGGACAGTGCAGCTGGAGAGAATGAGCTCACTGCTTACTTTCTCGTTTATTCGATAAAATATATATAACATTTAACTTTCGCCATTTTAACCATTTTTAAGTGTACAAGTCAGTGGCATTAAGTACATTCATGTTGTTGTACAGCTACCACCACCTTCCCTCTCCAGAACTTTTTCATCACTCTAAACTGAAACATCCCCCACTAACTGTCCCCAGTTTCCTTCCCTCAGCCTCTGGCAACCACCTTTCTACTTTCTTTTTCTTTTCTGTTTTTTTTGGGGGAGTGGGATGGGGGAATTCGGTTTACTTATTTTTTTAATGGAGGTACTGGGGATTGAACCCAGGACCTTGTGCATGCTAAGCATGTGCTCTATCACTGCGCTACACCCTCCCCCTCTTCTACTTTCTGTCTCTAATAATCTACCTAGCTACCCCATATAAATGGAATCATATGGTATTTGTCCTTCTGTGACAGTCTTATTTCACTTAGCACAATGTTTTAAAGGTTATTTCATGTTGTAGCATGTGTCAGAATTTATTTCTTTTCAAGGCTGAATAATAATTCGCTGTCTACTTTTGCTGGAGTACCAGGTCCAAGGAGGTGAGAGAGGGGAGGTGAGGCTTGATGTGAAGCGGTGAGGGTAGTGAGAGTGTGCTGTTCTAATGGACTCTTGAGGCACTCTGCAAATCAGAGTTCTGATGGCATAAAGCTACAGTAGAAGCCCACAGGAGTCATGTGCCCTGAATAGCAGCTGACAAAATACACCGACGACGTCAGCCCCTCTGAGCAAGAGCATTCTTGTAGCTTGGGCTTCATGATTCAAGGCCATTCACAGGAATGGCAAAACCCCACGCCGCGCACAGGCCCTGACTCAACAGAAACCAACTGATGCTATGCACTGACCTTTAGTGTTGACATTAAACAGCGCTATGGTAGCATCCCCTAAACTTCATTTAGTAACATACTGACTGCGCGATTTTGCCGTTTTTGAGTAACACCTGGGTTATTATATGCCATTTTTAAAAACTGACACTGTCTCACTTTTTAGAGGAAATAAAATTCACTTAAAAAGGAGACTATTAATCACCACCCTATAAGCTATTATCCTCTACCAAAAACAGATGATAAACATAAACAGAATAAACGAGAACAAAGCCAGTTAGGTAGGTACTGTCACCAGGAAGTAAGTCCAAGGCTTGCTCTCTCTGCTGAAGGGAGCCCCGCAGGTACTGGAGAGCCGGTGGGGGAACTAGCAGCAAACCGAGACACTTTCTTTGGCAAATAAGAATAACCTTCTCCTTTTAGAAAGAAAAAGAATAAAAAGGGGAAAACTTCACTATGTGGTTCTCAGGCCACCTAAAATCGTGTCTCCTTTGAGATGTCCCACACTTTGGCAAAACACGGCTTTGTCAGGTCCCATGAGTAAACTGGGGTGATTTATTAGTTTTGGGGATGATGCTTTCCTTTTTATGGGGGAGGAAGAGGAGTAGGGAAGAGCTATAAAAGACAGGACTTGGTCACTTTAAGTCGAAGACCAATGTAAAGTACTGGAGACAACTCTGTAAATCACAAAATCTACCAAACTATCTGATCGGTGCTTTGTGGGGTCTTCATCATCCTTATCATTCCTCGCCTGGTTCTAAGGAGTACAGTCTAGCCTCTTGTCTTTGGAGAATTCTGAGGGCTAGGGACACTGGGAATGCAGCTGATAGGCACGGACCCACGAACGCCACCTTCCACTTCATCCTCTTTCACAAGCAGGAACAGCAACCGCTAACATGTACTCTACAGTTTACAAAGCACTTTGCATGCAAATCACCATTTAATCTTGGGCCACAAAGCAACTCAAGGATGCACTTCTATGGGCCCCCAGCAATCAGGAGCATCTTCACTTGCTCTCTCAAGGAGCCCAGCTGCAAACAGATGTTCAATGAATGTGAGTGGGATACAAGGATGACAACTCACAGCCAGAAACCACTCTTTACCCCCAAATTCAGTTAACTCATTAAAGTCCCTGACCACAGTGATAAGGTACCTGCAACAATATGACAAATGCATACAGTTTAGTACTGCACAATAGTCAGGAGAGATGGATATTCCACATAAACACCAGCCTAAAAGGAAAACATGTGCAGTGAACAGATTAGCTATTAAATCAGAAGGACTTGTGCATCCACCTCTCATACAGGATTTATTGTTCTGAAAGCATCTGCGCCTTACCAAAGCTGAGTTAGTAATGGCATGCAGTTAGGGCAGGGGATGTTATGATGGTAATCATTAAAACGAGCTTCCCCCTGTATTACATAGTGAATTCAAATTTTCATTAAGGTCCCAACAATAGGGAGCAGTTAAGTAAATTATGGTATGCAAACTGGATGGAATATTAAACAGCCATTAAAATGATAAATCTGAAGATTATGTAGCTACATGAAAAAGCGTGCATGAAATTATACTAAGTTAAAAAGTGAAATACAAGACTGTTTATGTGTTGAGCAAACTGTAAAATGCGGGCTTTCTAAACTAGTCCCGGGCAATGTGAACAATGCCCCAAAGGAATTCTACTCCTTGCTTAGGACTTGCTGAATACTGTTATTGCACACTTTGCTCATAGTATCTAAACTCTCATGACAGCAATGTTGTAAGTACAGCTACACATGAATAAAGGGCGGAAAACCTGATACAGAAAGGTAAATAGTTACTGTGTACAGAGGAAGGAATTGTTGCATAATTATTTTTAAAAGTTGTTTTAAATAATGAATAAGGATGCTAGTAAAGAAAAATGTAATTAAGAAGGGATCACATGAAAGTAAATACGATTTTAAGCAGGTTGGGCTTATAGGAACGGTGTGTTTCGGAAGCAGCTGCCTTTGCCTGAGAAAACACCCATTTAGGGAGCATCTCCTCTCCCTGGAGACATTTGCCAAGAGCCCCAGGAAGTTAAGGGCCATTGTGCCAGGCCAGCTTGCCAGACATCACTGTCTCCTGCCTAATGACCAGGTCCATCCTCCTTATTACCCAGACCGATCTGTGACCGTCCAAAGACTGATCTAATAGGAGGTTAAGTCACAAGTTATCTGGACATCACCATCTATAAATTCATGGAAAATGACCTTTAATCTTGGGTGGCAGCCTGTGATTTTATGCCTCTTAGGCAGGGAGCAGAATCAGTAAATTGACAGGGTAGGTAGGGATTTCTGTTGACCTCTAGAGTAGAAAGGTTTTAAAGTGGAACTATATACGGAGCAAGAAAAAAAAATAGAGTACTTTCTTTTATAATCAGAGAATGTCAGAACTGGAAGGGGCCCTGGGCACACTCACCAAGGGCATAGAGCCAGGAGGGTGAGGCTTGTGTGCCGACCAAGGACTGTGACCAGGAGAAGCAAAGGCCAGAGTGATCATCTCAGCAGGTGATCTTCTGAGAGAGGGGCCCAGGACAGATCTAGGTGCGAACCAGGAGCCTCCTGAACGGCTCTGACAAGTGTTCAGAGATCTCTACGTCCACAGGCAACAAGCTCCATTTTGCTCTGGTATTCCCCAACTCTGTGCCTCCCCCTCACAGTTCTGTTTGTTTTTGTTTTGTTTTGTTTCTTCTTTTGGCTGCCAGGAAGCTCAGAGTTAATTCTGATGTTTAACCCAGTAGCCATGTTAGCTTTGGTACTGGGTCAATCGACTTTCACTCGCCCTTCCTTCTACATGGGTCTTGACATCTATCCTAACAGCTTCATTATATACATTACTTTTTATTATGAATAGCCTCAAATCTATATATTTGAAAGCAGGCAGACACACATCTAAACGAAAAAGATGAGAAAAAAGAAATCTTTTCTTTATCCCTTTAACCTTCCTTTCAGGAACAGAAAGAGGAGGGCAGGGCTCGGCTTTAGCCTCTGGGGAA